GAAATCTCTGTCAAAATATTAGCTGAACACAAGCTAAAGGAACAGAGGCTTCAATGAACACATACGACAAGGAACAGTCTTTACAAAAATAACTTGGCAAAGTCTCAAAACAGTAAGACATTATACACATTATAAATAAAATCAAATGCCCAGTTCTCAACAACAACAACAACAAAAATCACAAGGCATACAAAGAAAACAGGAAAACATGACTCATTCAAAGGAACAAAATTCACTATCCCCAAGAAAGCGCAGACATGGGACTTACTCCACAAGGACTTTAAAACAACATTTTTAAATATGCTCAAAGAGCAAAGGAAAAACATGGACAAGGAACTAACGTTAATCAGTAAAACGATATATGAACAAAATGAGAATACCAACAAAGAGATAGGTATTTATAAAAAGAACCAAAAAGAAATATTCTGGAGCTGAACAACAGTACAGTTACTGAATTGAAAAATTCACTAGAGGAGTTCAACAGCAGACTTGGATAGGCAGAAGAATCAGCAAATTTGAACAGGGGACAAATGAAATTATCTAGAGGAGTAAAAAAAATAAACAGAAAAGTGAGTGGAGCCTAAAGTGAGTGGACACCATCTATGTCCCATATGGACCAACACACTCATCGTGGGAGTCCCAGCAGGGGAAGGGCAAAAGAGAATATTTGAAGAAATAGTGGCCAAAAACTTCCCAATCATGATGAATACATAAATTTACAAATCCACAATCTCAATAAACTTCACATAGAATAAACACAAAGAGACCCATACCAAGACACATTACAATCAAACTGCTAAAAAACAATCTTGAAAGCAGCAAGAAAAAAGCTACTTGTCAGGTAAAAGAGCTCTTCAATAAGAATATCAGCCAGTTTATCATTAAAAACATTACAGGCTAAGAAGGCAGGGGCTGATATATTTAAAGCACTGAAAGAAAAAACTGTCCAGGGCGCCTGGGTGGCTCAGTCGTTAAGCGTCTGCCTTCGGCTCAGGTCATGATCCCAGGGTCCTGGGATCGAGTCCCACATTGGGCTCCCTGCTCTGCGGGAAGCCTGCTTCTCCCTCTCCCACTCCCCCTGCTTGTGTTCCTGCTCTCGCTATGTCTCTCTCTGTCAAAAAAATAAATAAAATCTTTAAAAAAAAAAAAAAAAAAAGAAAAAACCGTCCAATGAGAATTCCTTATCCAGCAAAACTGTCCTTCAAAACTGAAGAAGAAATTAAAACATTCCCAAATAAACAAAAAGTTGAAATAGTTTGTTAACACCAGGTCTGCCCTGAAAGAAAGGCTAAAGGAGTCCTTCAGGCTGAAATGAAAAAACATGACACAGTAATTCGAAGCTGTATGAAGACATAAAGCTCTCTGATAAAGGTGAATACATGGACAATTACAAAAACTATTATTGCTGTTTTGATTTACTGCTCCACTTTTTATTTTCTACAAATTTAAAAGGCATATGCCTAAAAATAATTATAAATCTATGTTATTGGGCATATAGTAATAAAGATGTAAATTTGTGACTCCAGTAACACAAAGGAGGAGGAGAATTTTACAGGAAGTACAGTTTTTGTGTGCTATTAAGGTTAAGTAGGATCAATTTAAATTAGGCAGTTACAACTTTTGGATGTTATATGTAATTCCTATGGTAACCAGATATACGATTAGATAAAGATAAGTTTTTAGAATAAACAACTAACTAAACTATCAATTATGCCATGCTGATAATGAAATTTTTCAATTTAGGTAAAGTATGCCTTGCAAAGAAGTATCAATGAAGTACATTACACGGTTTCCTGCCCTTACGGGTCTTAAAACTCCTGAGGGAAAACTAAGACATTTGAAACATTTTTAATAAATAATATAGAACATAATTTCTTAAATAAATTTTAATCAAATATCTAAGAAGTAATACAGGTGATTAGAAAAGGATGAATCAATGAAGAGAAAAGTTATAGCCAAGAATGCCCTTGCAGGACATAAAATCTGTCCAAGATAAGCAAAAAATTATAGAGGAAAAAAAAGGATTATAGTTGATTTTATTCCAAGTAATAACTCAATTACTTTTCAATTATATACCCCTAATCCATATGTACAATAGTTTTAATGGTCTTTTCCATATAATAAATTTATATAATAATAAGTAATAAAACATCTATTTGTTTACTTCAAACTTCAAACATCTCAGGCTCCAACCCCTCCACTAAGGTCCAACTGGCCCCACCTGCCCACTTCACTGCTTGCCTGAATTTCTACCAGGTGGATTTCCCCTCCACAAACCTTTACCTCTCCAATTTTTTCCATCTCATAATAAATGAAACCACTATCCATCAAGTTGTTCAACTATCCCTGATTTATCTTTCCCTCACCCCAACCTCTATATTCAATCCACAACTTGGTGTGGTTAAACCCACCTCCAAAATAATTTGAAATCCATTCATTCCTACTCTGATTCACCATCATCACTTCTAACCTTCATTCCTTAATAGTATTCTATTTGCTTTCTTTGCTCACTACAATCTATTATGTATAAAAACATACTGAGGCCAAAATAATCTTCCTAAAATATAAGTCATGCTATTCCCCACCTAAAATCCTCCAGCTTTATCCCAAATGAATTTCATTCATTTGAAAGGTTTTTCTTTGGGGTATTATTTTCTACTTGTTTCTTTTTTTAAATGAAATAACAGATACCAAAGAGGAGGTATCTCATCTTGAGTTTGGACTCGGAAGCCAGGTTGCCTGGGTCCAAATCATGGTTCTGCCACTCTGTAGTTAAGTAACCTTGGGGAAATTACTTAAGCCTCTCTGGGTCTTAGCCTCTTCTAGCTAAAGATCAATTTTTTGATGCTCACTGATTGGCTAGGGTTGTAAAGAGTTACTAGTCAGTAGGGTTTTTTTTGGGGGGGGTAGGGGCGGAGGGAGCTGTATAATAAATTTGATTAATATTACCACTGGATAAATGCAAGGCTGCTCCTGAATTATTCAGACATTTATTTGGGCATCACTATGGTAATTCTACTCACACCATATCCAGCTCAGGGGGAAAGACTGAACCTTTGAGAGACTGCTTCCTGAATCAGCCTGCTAGACAGGCTCACTCAGCCATCGAAACACGTGCAGCCACTAAACCAACGACCACACCCTTACGCTCAGGCGCACCATGAATGATGCCAGCTAGAAAGATATTCAGAGCAATGCCATTTATAGTAGCAGGAAAGAAATAACAATATAAATGCCCCCAAACCAAGTGACTAAAGAACGACAGCACTGCAACATAAAGAAAATACCACAATGGCAAGGACAAGGAGATACATAGATGAAATCATGCTGCATGGGACAAGATGAGGTGAAATATATGTATGTTGATTACAACTACATAAAAATGTGTGTATTCTTTCATTTTCTGTAAAGATGCTCAAGTTTGTTGTAAATAAAGCTTTGTTAAAGGACACACACACACTATAAGCCCAGATGTCTCTCAGGGCAACTTCCAGCTCTAGTATGTAATGATCTTATGAAAACCTAAGTGTGCAACACCCTGTTAACACTGGCAAATAGCAGAGCCACATTTTACAAAACCTCACATCAGAGATGGGATGTGCCTGAGGGACACCAGGGGTGCTAAAGATCAAGGCCGAACCAAAAACTTGCCACACAGGGTCTATTATAGGACGTTAACTCTTAAAAGTGACAAAGCATGTCTAGGCAGTACTAGTTGCAAATTATTTCTGTATAGAAGTCCTGAATTCTGGCTCGAGTGTTTCTTTTCTAGATAGGTCTTACCTCAATACTTAGAAATAAAGTAATACAGGCCAAAAAAAAAAAAAACACAAAAAACAAAGAATCCAAAATCTAGTTTCTATCCCTGCAATAAGTTTTTTTTTTTTTTTGAAGATTTTATTTATTTATTTGACAGAGAGAGATAGTAAGAGCAGGAACACAAGCAGGGAGAGTGGGAGAGGGAGAAGCAGGCTTTCCGCCAAGCAGGGAGCCCGACGTGGGGCTCGATCCCAGGACCTGGGATCATGACCTGAGCCGAAGGCAGACGCTTAACTACTGAGCCACCCAGGCGCCCCTCCCTGCAATAAGTTTTAAAAAGATGTCTGAATATTATGTTGGACTGTAAATCAACCATGGGGAGGAAGAAGATTGGTCCTAAAAAAAATTTTTTTTAATGATTTCTGTATAATTTCCCTCTTAGATTACTGAAGGTCTTATATTTGGATCTTAAATTACTTAAAATATTAGAAAATTCATTTTAAAAATCAATGTAAAATACAATATGCAAAAAACCGTCCATACATAATAACAACAATGAAATAACAATAGTTTGGAGGAAATCTTTCATTTTTAAAAATTCTACCTTATTAAAAGAGGAGCAGCAATCTAATCCCTCCTTCAATTTCTGTATGAAGTACTTGTAATTTAGGGGAAATTTACCATAAATTTTGTTAAGATTACTTTAGGAGTTTTCCTTTTATTTTTTAAATTGTGCCAGGTTTGTAAGATCACTTAGAAGACTGCCAAGCTAAGTGTGGAGTGGCTCCAAATGCACCTGACATATGCATATGCACATAAGCCAAAGACAGAGTTAAAAATCAATGCATCTCCATTTCCTTTTTCTTTCATTAACCACAGCCAAAATGTGAAACCAATTTTCTTAGTAAAAGCTTACTATGACTTGTGTACTTTAAAGCACAGGCTTTCAAAATGTAGAGCTAATCATATACAGTCAACAGATTACCAGTGGACCATTAAGAACACTGTGATGAGTATTTGACACTGAATGAACACGTGGCACACCCCGTCTGTAGAACCATACATGCAGCATACAGAGGTCAGAGGACACACAGTACTGAACACTTACACCCCACGTGGGGCTCTCCCCCCTCCATCACCCCCCTTAGTTGGAAACATCAACATTTTCTAATTTTGTTACAATAAATATTTGTTGTAAGGTAATGTGAGCCTCAGCTGTGACGGATCTGCAAGTGAATTACCTGACTCAAAGCTGGGATGGAGCTTGTCTGAGAAGTGGTTTGAGATATGGGACCATTCATCTGTAAAATTGAAAACATCAAACACACCATCATTACAATGTAAAGTAGCATTTTCAAACCACAGTAATTTACCAAAAACAAAACCCACTGAGAAAAACACATTTTTACATGACAAACAATATTCAGAACGATGTAGGAGCCTTGAAACCTAAAATATTATAAAATTCTGACCACCATAAGCAAAATTCCTTGTAGTTTCAATGGGGAAAATTAATAAAAATCTGCTTTGCTTGATAGGGTAAAAGCAGTCAAAAAATTTTACAATCCTAGTTAATTCTTTACATACCAGTACAACAAGGTGTAATGTTATTACAGTATTTATAAATCACCGCATTTTTCTTGGTGATCTAAACTCCAAAAGCTTTTAAGTGTCTAGAGATATGTGTTTTTTCTCTCCCCTACTACTGACAGCTTCCTCTTACTAGTAAGCTACCCATAAACTTACTCAGAATGTAACACCTATATTTAGGTTGTAAGATATGCCAGAGTTACTACTTTGATTTACTTAATAAATCCAACACAGCATCTGTGATCAGAGGAAGAGAGTGAGGCACCAGGCCAATTCTGGCCTCGACCCACACTCACCAGATGAGTGCTGTCTTTCCCTTCCTGGACTCGCTGGCCCTGCGGTTCAGCCACGACCTTAGTGTCCTGATCAGAAGTCATGAGCTGTTTACTTTGTGGCTGCACTGGGAGAAGCTGAATGGCAACCGTAGAATGCTGTAAAACAACAAAAGACAATACATCAGTAACCTGAAGTACAAAATACAATGGATTCTTAAAATTAAGTTACTAGGAAGTCTTAAAATTCTCAGGTTTTCCAGGACATGTGTTTATCCCTCTGGAGCTTATTTATTTATTTACTTATTTATTTTTAATTTGGGCTCCACTCCCAGCATGGAGCCCAACACAGGGCTTGAACTCATGAACCTGAGATCAAGAGCCCAGGAGACATCAAGAGCCACCTGCCCAACTGACTGAGCCACCCAGGCGCCCCTGCAGTCTAAGTAGTTTAAAGAAATCTACCCATAGGGGCGCCTGGGTGGCTCAGTCGGTTAAGCGTCTGCCTTCGGCTCAGGTCATGATATCAGGGTACTGGGATCGAGCCCCACGTAGGTGGTCCCTGCTCAGCGGGGAGCCTGCTTCTCCCTCTCCCCACTGCTCGTTCTCTCTCTGTCTTAATAAATAAAATCTTAAAAAAAAAAAGGAATCTGCCCATAATTTACACCTTTGTACTAACCCAAGAATATACTAAGACTAGAAATCATGTGCTAACACATACAGACCCACTCATGCCCAGAAAACAGAAGATTATAAAATTAATAGAACTCCAGTCTGTGATTTGATGAATCTCAAATTTATATATATCGTTTTGACTGGACCCATTAATTTCATTTTGTTCCAAGACAATAGTTTTAAAGAGAAATAAACAGTAATTAGTTAAAAAGGAATCCCTTCAAAATCCTGACCCACACAAACTGAAAACCACCTCAAGACAGCAGGACCAGTGCTGCAAAGCAGGCTTTCCAAAGCATTGGCTCAGCTCAACAGTTAAGAGACTGAACTTCAAACAAGAGATCTCATTTCATTTTCCCAAACAGCGTAAATAATAACTCTTGTTCATGAGAGACAACAATATTCATGATTTCGTATGATCAGCATGAGAACCAGGGTTCCCAGACATCCAGGGCTGACCTCTGGCGTTTCCCTCTTTCTGCAGCAAGCCGAGCTGCCTCACAGCACCACTAGGACTGGCTTTAATCCAGGTACCTCTCAGGCTCTTCTGAAAACACAGCATCCACATGCCAGATACAGAGATTTAAAAGCTAGCTATTTCTGTCTCACAAGGTAACCAGGCAGGTTTTTAGTTTCTACGATGTGCTCCCTACTCTCAGTAACCTGCTTAGGATAAATTCCCAAAACCCTTGTTAATGAAATAATCTGATGATCAAAGGTAATCTCATCCAACAGTCAACTCTATCATCAGCCACAAAAGCACAAAATCACTTCCGTGCTATTTGACAGGTTTGGCAATATAAACTGCTAAAAGAAACCCTTGAAAACAAAATCAGTTTCACAGAGGTCAATGTCTTCCAAAACACAGGATGAGTATCAGGTGTTAAACTGTACAAGTTTGCAATATGTGAAACTATCACAGAAACAGACATTGAGGGGCACCTGAGTGGCTCAGTCGCTGAAATGTCTGCCTTCAGCTCAGGTCATGATCCCGGGTTCCCTGCTTCTCCCTCCCCCTCCACTCCCCCCCCCCACTTGGTTCTCTCTCTCTCTCAAATAAATAAATAAAACAAAGAAAGGGGGGGGGGGAGAGAGAGACAGAGAGAAACAAACAAATGGACATCGACTCTCCCCAAACACCAAATCCAGAAAATGAAGTCATGGGATGCTAATTAAACCGACAAGTCACAGAAGGTGTTACAGACACTTTTACCACTATGAACTTCTAGATTTGTAAGATTCTCAAAGAAAAACAATGTTTGGTCAAAAACAAGGTAAGATAGCCAAAAGGGGGGAAAATTCAACTGTAAGAATCCTTTATTACAACTACTACCTATATTTTTTTCAGTGATTCTGTGCCTCCTGATAGAACCAGCAGCAAGACCAGGAAGTGGTCTTGCAAAACAAACAAACAAACAATATCCACGCACCCAGGATGTGGTCTTATTACAAACTTAGAGCAAACAGGAGCACTACGGATCACAGGGGTGCGGAATATCTGGACAAGCAGCCTGGCTTCCTTGACACCACAGGACACAAGATGTACATACTGGCCAAACCACGGCTTTACTTGGTTTGTATGGCTTTATTCGATTCAAACAAACAACAATCAGGGAAGCAGTACCGATGGGATTATTGATGGTATCAAAGAATTACTGTATTTTCTAAGATGTGAGAATGATGCTGTGGTTATATTTAATTATTAAAAAAAGAGGCCTTATAGAATTGCATATTGAAATATTTACAGGGGCAATAAGACGACATCTGGAATTTTCCTCAAAATAGTATATGGGATAGAGACGTATGAGTTTGTATTTGTTCCCCTTGGAAGAGGGGTATGTATGGGGGTTCAGGATTCGATCCAGTCTACTCATGCATGCTTGAAACGTTCCATGACAAAAGGTTAAAAAAGGCAGCATGGCAGTGTCCTAATACAACAGACACAGCAGGCCTGGTCTGTCCCAGGCCTCCTATGCACAAACAAGTAATCCTGACATCACACCACACGACCTCTTCATGACTGACCTAACATGCACTGTTTTTCAAAAGTCCTACACCTGGAAAGAGGGCTTACTGATCTCCACCTCGTTTAAGGAGCACAAAAGGTACAGAGCATTAAAATCAGACTTTATCAAATGTCTGAATCTAAAATAAGGACAGAGTACGATGATGCAACACTGACAACAGTTCAATAAATAACAAAACCACCTTTTCATTACTCATTCGAGAGACCAAAACCACGCTGAGACTTACACCATTTAAACTACTGCTTCCAGGAACAGCCAAAGAGCAGGTCTCTAGGTTTTAAAGAGAAATATGCAAGGGGTGGGGGGAGGGATGAGAGGAATTTATCAGCAAAACAAAGCATTTGCCAGCGTAAGACCTAGGAGTTTGAAAACCTGATAGTGTTCAGAGGCAGCCTTCACAAAGCCTTCCTGAGCTGAACAAAAGGGCTTATTTCCCTGGTTTGATTTCATCTCTCAATGTGAAAAGGCAAAGAGATGAAGTCAAAGGGCCCTCCCTCTTGTCCTGTGGTCTCTATGCTAGCTGGACAAAGCTACACCTAAAAGTTTAATCAATCTTATTAAACACTTGGGAGAGCATGGTTCTCTCAGAGCTGTTCCTACAGAATCCTTTCCCCATATACCAGAAATGTCTGTTTCATAATGAAACATTCATTAAGGTCTTGGGGGTCCCATCTACGACCTCCCATGGCATTCAGCAGTCACTTCTTCAAGCTGTGACAAGTCCTCAGTCTTTGCTCCTCTTTTCTGGGCGCTTCCAAGAGTGCTGGTTACTGCTTCTGTCACACAAACCCGGGCCACCTCGCCATGAAAGCGAGGGCGTCAGTGAGCTCGCCTGTGGTGGCAGCACAGAAGCAACAGAAAAGGAAAGGAAGGGCTCTCGCGGCCACAGAGAAGCAACGCGCAGAGCTTATAAAGAACCAACGGGTAACAAACTCGTTAGGATCCACACACCACACTGGTCATCTCTGGGGGTTCTCAGGACACCAACTCACTTTTCCAAAGATTTCTAAAGGCAAACAGTCATTAGTGTGCCTTTCCTGGATGACTACTGCTGCATAACCAAGTAGCTGGTCAGGGCAAGCTGCTCTCTATACAGGAGCCACAATTAATAAACAGTGAAAGACCAAATTAGAAAATCAAACTATCTGCAACATCTAATGAAATAACAAAGCAATAACCACTGATGTCTGCTAAAGCCTGGTGGAGAGCTGATGGAGAACTTCAGAATGGCTGGATCAGATGGACACTAAAGCGACTTTTCAATCCCCATCAAAAAAGTGGAACTAGGTGTTATATTCTTCTTGATGTGAGGAAAGAGCACTGTTTATCAAGTATTCTTGCCAAAAAAAGAACCTGTAGTTAATCAAAACTCTAGATTGTGGGCTCCCAATTTAAAGGAAATTCTGGGGCAATACATGTTAAATCACAGCAACACAAAGCCATTAGCTAAACCCAGAATGTGGGGCATTCCAGATAGACAGATGACCTCATTTCTGCAGCAAACTTAAGACATGGGAAAATGGGAGAGATTTTTATTGCCACAAAATACAGAAGTTTTAACCAAAATAACCTTATGTGAGAACTGTATCTGGATTGAAATAAATTAACTTCAGAATGACATTTTTGACAGGAAAAATTGACTGTTGCCTAGGTAATAAAGGATATTATAGAATGATTATTAATTCCATTGGGCGCAATCCAGGTGCTGCATCTGTTTAAAGGTCTTATCTGGGAGACATATAAACTAAAAGACAGATGACATTACATACCCAGAATTTGCTTTAAAATATGCTAACAATTTTTTTTTTTTTTGGTAAATTTAAGAGAAGAAACAAAAACACAAGAATGCAGCAAGTGGCTGGCAGCTGAAGCCAGATGATGGGCACATAGAGGGCTGCTCCACCACCCACCCTCTCTACTTCTGTGGTTAAAAACTCCCACAATAAAAAGTAAAAAGAAAAATCTGACTAGGACTGGTGCAGTTACAGAGAAGAATGGCCAAGGTTATATGAAAAGACTATTTAAACACTCCTCACTTTTCAAACTATGTATTTGTATAAGGTCAGATTTCCTTCTCATCCTTCAACCAAAATAACGTATCACTAACAGATCAAATGCAGAAACAGAGAATCCACCTGAAAGTCTATTAGACATTGAAGAGATTTATAAAAATATAAAACAATGCCATTCTCCTCATTAAATTATTTTTTGTTTTGGAAAAGATTGTTACCTTTTCATAACCAATGTTATTTATATTACATGTAATGGCTTTGTTATTATTGCCAAAGAAAAACTTTTTAAATTTGAGTCTTAATTTTTAATACAAATACCCAGATAAGTCCTATAAAGTTCTTAAAGATCCTCAATAATGTTTCAAAGTGCAAAGAGCCCCAAGACCACAATGTTTGAGAACCACCAATAGGAGACAAAACCAGTCCTGATGTACAGATGCCTGGTGTTCATGGAGAGGAGACACCCTATGTTCACAGACGGGAAGACATGGTATTCTGACGACAACACTCCCCACGTCTACAGAGTCAATGCAATCCCTATCAAAATCTCCCCTGCCTTTTCTGCAGAAATTGATGAGCTGATTCTAAAATTCCTATGGAAATGCAAGGGACCCAGAATAGCCAAATAATCTTGCAAAGGACAAAGTTGGAAGACTCACACTTCCTAATTTCAAAACTTACTACGAAACTATAGCAATTAAGATAGTGGGTACTGGCATAAGGAGAGACATACAGATCAACAGACAGAATTGAGAGCCCAGAAATAAACCCTCACATTTATGGTCAGTTAATTTTCAAATTGGTACCAAGACCATTTGATGGGGAAAGAAAACTCTTTTCAACAAATGGTGCTAGAAAAACTGGATATCTACATGCAAAAGAATGAAGGTGGACCTCTGTATCACTCTATTTATAAAAATTAATTCAAAATGGATCAAACACCTAAATATGGGGCACCTGCCTGGTTCAGTGGGTGGAGCGTGTAACTCTTGATCGCAGGGTTGTGAGTTTGAGCCCCACGCTGGGTATAGAGATTACTAAAGAGTAAAATAAACTCAAAAAAAACCCCCAAAAAACAAAAACCCCCACCTAAATATAAGAGCTAGAACTACAAAGCTCAGAAGAAAACATAGGAGTAAATCGTAAGCCTGGATCAGGCAATATCTTCTTGGACAGGACACCAAAACCACAAACAACAGAAAAAAAAACAAAACTGGTCTTTATCAAAATAAAAAACTTTTGGGCTTTAAAGCACACCACCAACAAAGTGAAAAGATAACCCAGAGAATGGAAAAAAATATTTGCAAATTACATACTTCATAAAGGATATGTGTATATATACAGAGAAAGAGAAGAGTGTGTTCTTAAAACTCAATTATAAGAGAAAATAAGTAAAAAACTGGCAAAGAGTCTGAACTGACATTTTCCCAAAAACATACAAATGGCCAATAAGTACATGAAAAGATTCTCAACATCATTAGTCATTAGGGAAATGCAAATCAAAACATGAAATACCACTTCAAACTCATTGGAATGGATATAATCAAACACACAAATAACAAGTGTTGGCAAGGACTAAAGAACTGGGCTCTTAATACAGTGCTGGTGGGAATTAAGATGGCACAGCCACTCTGGTAAACAGTTGCAGATGTTGAACACAAAGTTATCATATGACCCAGCATTCCCACACCTAGGTACATACCCAAGAGGACAGAAAGCACATATCATCACCAAAACTTGTAAGTGAATATTCACAGCAACATAATAGCCAAAAAGTGGAAATAACTCAAACAGTAAACTATTAGAGGTTAAGGTCCTTATTTTCATACATGTGCTTGGCTTACTTCAGTGGATCTGCGAATAACAATGATAGAATCATAGTTTGAGAATTTGGTAATTTCTAAAACAATCAAAGATATTATTCTCCTGAATATGAATTTTTTTTTCCTGCTTACAAGAGTGTGGTGTGTAAACACAGGGGATTTGTCTGTGTATCAGAAATCCAAAAAGGGAAAGTATTAGCATTTGGATCTCTGTTATGCAATGATTACTCTAAGTGCTTTACAGATTACTGAGTCAACTTCAATTCTCTTAGTGAGGTCTCCTGCCCACTTAGCAGAATGGGAAAATGAGTTCCGAGATGACTCAGTCAAGTTCACAGAGGTGCTTAAGTCCAGTGAGCTAATCCATATACACACATATAATTTCTGCTCTTCAACTCTCTGTGCCCACAAAGGAATTCAGCAGTGCAGGCAGCTCACCCTATCAATCCACACCAATGGGCATGCCCGCCATGACACGACCTCAAAGTACCTGCAGTTTCCTTAGCTGGTCTTCATTCCTTCTTCCCTTCTATGGGGATAATTCATATTGTACCAGTGCACAGATTATGATTTTAGCATTTAAAATAAGCACTTTTTAAAAAAACAACATGGTGCATAAATATAAGCCAAATACTTCATCTTTTTATACAACAGTGACCTGATTCAATGCCAAAAGAAAAAACTCGCTGTGTTTAGATATGATTTGTTGCACCTTACTGGGGAATTTTGAAGTGTATAGATCATTTTTTGCTTTATCAGTTGACCTTGAAATGTAAACATTTCATATGAGATGAAATTCTACCATATGGGGGCCAAATAAAAGACCCCTTTTCTCAGTCTAAAAACATTCTTCTGAAGTCAAGAAGTCTCCACTTCTACAGACCACCCTCCATTCTCTATATTCAATACTTCCCTGTCTCTCTGCACATTCTCTTCTCCTTGTCTGGAACATTCCTCCCTCCTTGAAGGCATTCAGCATTCCTCTCTCACTCCTTCTCCATGTACTCACAGCCTTCTCTGTTCTTCAGGGCACTGACCACATCTGTGCTTCTCCTCTACTATCCTCGGTCTCTTTAAGGAATCCATGTATTTCATCTCCTTACCTATTAGGATACAACAGAAATATGTATCCCACCAATGATATGTTACAATTTACCCCCAAGAGAGTCCTTTTGTCAATAACACTCATGTACAGGTGGTTTAGCTGCAGGGTTGTCTAAACAATCTGCTTCTGTATTTGCATCCACAAAATGAGGGAAAAGTCAAGTTTGCTAAGGTATCTTCTAATTCCACTAGTCTGCAGTTGAGAGCAAGGAGTTCAGGGACAGAGCCTGAGCAAAGGAGCTGGACAGTACAAGATGCTACTACACAGACATGCCTTCTAAGAACTCCTACATTAACAACTAGGACTATTTTACAAAAAACAGTAAATGAATATTCAACTAGATAAGTCAACAGTTTTATCCAAATATGGAAAATGGGCAGTTAAGAACTTTAAGAGTCTCATGCTCTACCGACTGAGCTAGCCGGGCAGTTGGTTAAGAACTTTAGAGACTGCCCTAATTAAGTACTATATGGGTTTGAGAATCAATTAGAAATCCCTTTCAGAATCAATTAGAAAAGCCAAAATCTGTTACTTGCAATGTCTAAACATACTTAGTAGAAAGACAGTTTACCTACCAGACCTCTGAAACTGAAACTCATTGGAAAAAACAGAAATGGGCAAAGAAGCTAAATCAAATCATTAAAGCACAATCACAGCATTTGCGGATTTGGAAGGGCATTTGTTAGTAACTTTCTTTTAGGAACTCAATATAAACACCTCTAAATGTAAGTGTAAGAAAATAAAATAACATGATAGGAATTACAGCTCCTCATTCACTCGCTCTATGCTGCAGGTTGCATTATATCGTTTATCTCGCGGCTGAGCGGCTGCCTGTATCGCTCTGTAATATTTAAAATGCATATTCCTGTCTTCAGGGAGATTAGTCTGTGTACCTTCCACAGCACCTTACAAAGATCACATATTCAACGGCATCTGCAAGCTTGAAGAGTGAGGACATTTATAGAGCAACAGCTGTTTCCAGGAGAGCAGTTACTCTGGCTCTTTGTTTTCTCAGATTCAGTATCTCCATGACAGCCCATTTCTTTCCAGAGCTTTCTCCCACTAACTGTGGCACTCAAAGACACAGACGAATGAAAGAATCCAACCTTGGTAGAGTGGTTGTTCAATTACACATTTAAACTGGCACCCGGTAGGGAAATAGTCCTAAACAGATGCTGCCAGTAAGCTTCCAGATTAATTTTTTAAATGTCCTTTTACACCTGTACACCTGTACTTCTACTGAAAGAGACGGCAGTGGGAAAAGGTAACTTATTTTTTACAGTTCCATCTGATTCTGCTCCTAGAGAGGGCATAAAATCAGGCACAAGACACACTTATTTCTAAGACAAACAGGACTGGAGAAGTACCTACATGAGAAGTAAACCCCAAAAGTTACATTTAAAAATTTTCCCACTAATTGCTTTTTAAAATTTATTTAGAAATTCCACACACAATCAGAAAGGTCCCTTCCAGCTTTATGAATAAACTGGTTCGTGGCAGGACGCCTGGGTAGGTCAGCCGGTGAAGCGCCGACACTTGATTTCAGCTCAGATCATGATCTCAGGATTGTGAGATGGAACCCTACACTGGGCTCCCCGCTGGGCATGGAGTCTGCTTAAGATTCTTTCTCTCCCTCTCCCTCTGCCCCTCCCCCTACTACCTCAAAAAAAAAAAAAAATTGGTTCATGACATGTTACCTCACCCTGGAGAGGTCAATTATTTGAAAAGATCATTTTAGCTGGAATTCTTATTAAAATACAATACAAAACAGAGAGAGTTTAGGTCATCTCATTAACTCTCTGGTTACAAGCATTTTTGACAAAGTCCAAACTACCAGTCCAATACCTGGTTATAAAGAAGCCTAAATAAAATATTATTTGGAAAAAGGGAAACAATATGAAGATAAAAAATCCTATCTCTTACTTTGCATGTGACTGTGATGGTTATTTTGTAAAAGAGGGCACAAACCTGAGGTGGGCTATCATATCCTTAGAGATAGGGCCTTTCTGCCCTCAAAGTAGCATTTCTTCCTCTGACCATGAGTCATTCCTTTCCAGTAGAAGACCATCTCCTAAAACAGATACACACCTTTTCCCCCAAGGGAAGCAGATGGAAAGGGTAACCACGTTAGGCCTATCTATAGAGGGCGCAAGTTCAGCTAATCCACACACCTGCCTAAACACTACCGGAAGTGCTACACCAAACCTGCGGCCTCCACAGGACAAAATGCAGCCTGTCTACTTCATGTAACCTAAAATGGAAGGAGTAAAATAGAAGAACAATTTTTCACAAAGATGTCCAATTCCATAGATGAAAAGCTAACTGTCCTGAGTCCAGCCTGTTTAGAATGTATTCTGATCTCCATCTGTCTACCCACAATTCCCCATTAAGAACCACTTCCCATGTTGCAAACCGTAAGCCCACTGAACCGCTCTGGCCTTATTCAGGCACCCTCAGTCCCGGGATCAGTCGGCTCGTCAGCTGCACAGGCTCTTTCGGATTGATGTGCTCCTCTTCTGCCGTCTCTTTACCACACACAACCTCCTGATAGCAGGCCAAGTGTGTCTAGAGTCCAGAGGAGAAAAAAACAGCTTACTGTTGGCATTTCATCTGCATTATCACCTCACGGACAAAGAGCAGAACTGCCTCATTCAATCTGTTGCAGAATTTATTCCCTGGGGAACTGCATATGTGTAGCTCTCCCTTGTTTTTGTTAACTTCATTTTGAACATGGGATCATTCTCCTGAGATGATCCACACTCTTCCTAAGAATCCTCACTTTCTCTCATTTACATTTGAACACAAAAATGCTGCCAGCCAAAAGTAGTATCAGTGTATACCTGCACCAAGGAAAGGTCAGAATCAACACCACAAAAAAGTCTTTGAAGAGACCTAGAAATCCTCTTCAGGAAAAAAAAAAAAAAACTCTGGCTAGGACGTTGCTTCAACCCTTTTCAAAAGAAAAGTCTCCATTCACCTCAGCGTTCTCGCCCATCTTTCATTTCTCTGAGGACTGCCGATCACATTTTATCACCCTTTCCAATCTACTGTCACATAACTACAACTTTTCAACTGAAAGTGGATGACAGGGTGGTGGTGAGCAACCTTAGAAGTGAGCATGCTGGCCAAGGTCCGAGCTGGACAGCGGCTCAGAGCGCACTTAACCCTGTGCTGATCTGACTACGCATGCTGATTACGCCCAGGAGGGCGCCAAAGAGTCAGAACTAGATGTGATAAAATTGTCTCAAGTCCGGAACTATACAGAAAGTGGTTTACTTTAAAAAAAAATTAAATTTAAGAAAAACCAACACAGCGGGGCGCCTGGAGGGCTCAGTCGTTAAGCATCTGCCTTCGGCTCAGGTCATGAATCTCAGGGTCCTGGGATCAAGCCCCACATCGGGCTCCCTGCTCCGCGGGAAGCCTGCTTCTGCCTCCCCCACTCCCCCTGCTTGTGTTCCCTCTCTCGCTGTGTCTCTATCAAATAAATAAATAAAATCTTTAAAAAAATAAATATAATTTTATACGTCAATTATATCTCAATAAAGGCAGATGCTTAACCATCTGAGCTACCCAGGCGCCCAAGGATGTTAAATTTTAAAAAAAGCTTTACTTTGGGAAAAGGTACTTCTGACCTATGTTAATCAATAACCAATTAATCAAAACAAAGCAAGAACATCCTAAATGTGTAGTGTTTCTCCAAATGAAGGACAATGAAATTCAGTGAGTCGTGAAAACATTCCCAAGCATGTGCAGGGCTCTAAGTCAAGAGCTGTTTGAGCCAACAGATGGTAGTGATAAAGATGACAACAGGAGCACCTGGGTGGCTCAGTCAGTCAAGTGTCTGCCTTTGGCTCAGGTCATGATCTCAGG